CATCAGATCCATGCCTTGTGCTTCTATTCTATTTACGCAAATAAAATAAATGTATGTAATGTCAATTTTTTATCATTTTTACAAATTGAGGCAAACTGTCTGGGAGATAAATCCTCAGCAGAGTAACTTCCTACATCATAAAAAGTAAGAATAAATCCATATGAACCTAAGGCTACACATCAATATTTAAATGGGTTTTCACAGCGATAATGAACACCTTGGCTTTTCTCAGAGCAGAAAAGAGCTTTAGCTGGGGCACTCTCTCGCAAGTTCATATTGCATCATTTGGACTCACAAACTGCCAAAAGTATAATGAGAGAATAAGTATTAACAACTAAGAGTAAGACCCAGTGCTGCATTTATATAAGCCTCCTCTATTCAGTTACTAATGATTTGCTTGTTACAGTAATCATCGCTGCGAGACCATACCGGAACATCTGCATTGATTCAGACTCTGGGAGCGCAGAGAGGGAGGGAGATGCTCACAATCTGGATCTCAACTTCGAGAGCGAGACAACAAGCTGTTGATGGTTATTTTGGTAATTGTCCATAATTGATGTAAAACACAGAGTGTGTTGAAGAAGATTCTGAATGATGGTTTCTGTAGCTTGAGAGGTCGCGGAAAATGGGCAGTTGTGATGAAAATGCACAAACATCATCTAATAATGTGAGTTTTAAATGCAACAAGACAGCTGGTGGGAGAAAATGAGACACCTAGCAGCAGTTTACTCTTAACTGATGGAGTAAATTGTTCTTGGCAGTCGAAAGCAATGATGTCGTAAATTATACATCCAGTTAAATGCAAGATTTGACTTCGAACATTAAAATCTTATTGTTTTACACATCCAGCTGGGCAGTAATTGTGCATATTTATCAATATTTTGAAGCTTAATAGATGAACTTACATATATAAAGTCAGTAAGTTAGGATATTTATTATGCCATGCACACATTTTTTTTTTTAAATCACAGAAATGCATAGCAAAAACGGCAGAATGTATCCTGCCAAAAAACAGTCCATGTCAATAGGTCAAGATTTACACTGAACATGATTGTTTTACACGTTTAGTTGGGAAATTATTGTGTATATTTATGAATATTTAAAAGCTTAAAAATATGAACTTATGTATATAAAGTGTGTTAGTTAAAAAGTTGTGTTGTAGAGTTTAACATTTCTGACTTTAAAGCCAAAATCTATTCACAAGACCTTATTTAGTAAACATATTATACATATTTTGAAGCTTAAATAGATGAAGTTACATCATTTAATGTCATTTTTGTTATGTATTATATTGTGCACACACATATGTCAATCACACACTAAAAAGTAGAGTTGTAGTGGTTAAACATTTTACTTTAAAGCCAAGATGTAGTAACAGGGCCCACACATGTTTACATTTCTTTTAACATTATTAAAGTGCCACAAAAATGCAAAGTAGTTATTTCAAAAAAAGGTTTTTCCTATATCAATGAGTTAGTTTAAATTCACTCAGTTTAAATTGACATTAAAATGAAGGTATTACATCCTCTGTATGTAATAAGCCTAAAACTTAGATTACATTGTTCTAGTTGCTCTCACCTTTGTAGGGCAAAAAGGGCCATACAATCTTATATAAAAGATCAAATGTAATCCTCCTGAAACAAGTTCTAACTTTAAAGGTCACCTATTATGCAAAATTCACTTTTTCATGTCTTTTATACATAACCATGTGTCCCCTCTGTGTAAAGAGATTCTGAACGTTTATATAAAAACCTGTCTGAAAATGAGCTGATCAGAATTTTGGCCACTTTATGTCATAACGATTTGTTGGCTTGTGTAACCATTAGCCAATAACCAACCAAGGTAACCCCCCCCCCCACCTTATCACCTGAATCTCCTCCTAGAGCAGAGTACTTTTCCCCGGAAATCTTTAGTTCCAGAACTATCTAGTAGATCGCGTTCACACCGGAATAAGTCCCTGAGGGAGCCGCTGACGTCACTTCTTCTTCTTCTTCTTCTTCTGCTTTGGGTTTACTGGCAGGCCACAAACAACTTCACGGCGTATACTGCCACCCGAAGTCCCCAGCCGGAAGTCCCCGGAGTTGGGGGCTGGCTTCAGTAGAAGCTGCTGGGACTCCCAGCAGCTTCTACTGAAGCCTTCCGAGTAAATCGCCAGAAACGCCGACACCTCATCACTCCACCGCTCCCATGTTTTCTTTTGTGTTGCCATAAATTAGTCTCTCTGCGTTTGTGTGCTGGGCTAATGCTAATGCTAATAATGCTAATGCAAGCAAATAAAATGGCGGCTTCACAAAACTTTTCAGAGTTTTACGGGGCGTGGTTTGCAATTCGCCCAGCCAATCAGAAATTGGAACCTTTTTCTCCCCAGGAAAGTACCACCTCTCTAGCAGGGACTAAAAAGGGGTGAAACGGTTTGCAAAAAAAAGTTCTAGTTCCAGATCTTTTTGGTGTGAACGCAAAATCCCAGGAACTATCGGAACTATTCCTGGGAAAAGTACTCCGGTGTGAAAGCGCCTAATGTGTTATTTGTAACCAAATATCTCTCAGAGGGGCGTGGGGAGTGGCTCCTTATTTTCATCGAAAGTAACAGACAGAGAATCAGCACTTTTGAAACAGGACTGAAACAGAGGGGATTATGGGATGCTGCAATGATCTGTTTGGTATTTGGAGCCAAACACTTCAGAGACATGTTTTGTATATATCTGAGACCTCTAATATATTGATGAAAAACAGTATACTAGGGGACCTTTAAGAATCATCCATCGAAAAACACTCACCACAAATGTAGAAAACGGTTGCCTGTAACTGTACAGTAGCTAATGCTCAATGCTGCTTCACATAAGGCTCCACACTGTAGTTGTGGATGAACACTTATAAGTAATTGAGACAGTGTACAGTATGTGGCAACAAATATCACTCTCTCACTCTGTGTTTAAAGAGGGTTTTGGCATGGCTGACACAAAGTGAGGAGATCCTGAGCACATGTTTGGATAAGTGAAGAGCGAGCTACATAATTCTGCTCAAAGCATGTGAGTGATGACTCTATAACACAAGTCCAGAGTGTCCTTGTTCTGTTGCCATCGCTTCTCTAATGAGACCTCTCTGAAGAACCAGAGTGAATCTACAGCACCGTGTGGCTCAGTCCAGCTTGACCTCGCTCCACCCTCGGTAGAATTAAGGACATCTTCTACCTTCTTGACTGTGGCTATGGATAAAGAATACACACTAATTATAGAAACATCTACGAACTAGGGCAAAACTGCATGACCTTGGACTAATGAATATATATGAAGAGAAAATGGCTGCTGCATCTTGTTCTGTTTGACGAGCAGGGATCAAAACGCTGATCCGTTTGACATGAGAGGGCATGACCCCTGACTTCAGCGAAATAAACTTATTTTCAAGAACAACCAACACATTGACAGAAATAACAATTTAAATGCCAAGCATGTCATGCACAAGCTTCACTAAACAAAATAACAGAGAACCAAAAAGTGTTTCTTATCATATTTCCTCACTAGTTTAGTCTCTTTATTTTGAGTTGTATATATACCTGCATTGATTCATAAACTGCCCTACATTGCTGTAAAAATCTGCCCTGGAACAAAAACCAATGCATTCACATGGACCCTTGAAAAAACAAAACGCAGGTTGTGGGATGTCACCTCGCCACCCCGGTCAATTAAACACCTCCCACTACAGGTTGGCTTCACTCAAAAGGCTCATTAACCCTTCTGACCAACCACCAGTCACAATCAGAAAAACATCCGTCACATTGGCCAATCCCTACATGGGCAACGCAGGTCAACACCCACACAAGTGACAGGGAATTGAATTGCTGGAGAGAACGTGGTTTGTCTGTGCACTTGAAAGACATTTGTTTATTCACAGCGGGCCACATTGACTTGTTTTTTTGTATATAATTGATATATGCGAGTGATACGAGGTAAATATTCTTCCAGGCAAGCATGAATGCGGTTGCATAAATCATCTCTAAAGCAGAACTGATGAGCTGAATCACAACATTTTAAATTCAAACCCATTGAAAGGTTTACTAAAATAAATATCCCAGATACATCACATTTGGAAATCAATGTGGCATGTACTTTAAAGTACAACTACGCCTTATGAAACGAAACGGGCGCAGCGATACATCTGAAGCGTCTTTGTGTGCTTGTTTTTTTTCAGACCACTAGTCTTAATCTACTGGGTTGATCTCTCGGTTCCCGCGGGATTATAAGATGTCTGCAAACCTCCAAATATTTGAGGCAATCAACAACTCAACACGCATTTGGCGTTAGAATGCAAGAATGTGAAAACACACAAACGAACGGATAAAAAGGAGTGAAATATGAAGAGAAATAAGGGGGATCGGAGCGGTGCCCATTTCGGGGGTGTAAAATATGGAGAAGTGTGGATCATTGGGGGAGCTGCTCTGCCTGGGGGAACAGATGAAGGGAGGACACTCTGCCAAGATCTCTCCACTGGAGGGGGAGCTGAGGGACTGCAGCTCTATGGGAGGAAGAGTGTGCGCCTCGCATGCTGCTCTCCTCAATCTCAGTCTCACACGCCTGCATCGACACGTCGTCCCAGGCTCTCGCAGCAGAGGGAAATTGCTGCTGACAGGGCCTTGCAAACTTTCACAGCCATTTAGAAAGACTTACTCCCACACTTTTGTCACAGGCATTTATTGCACAAGATACATGATATGAAAAATTTACATTTTTTGAACTTGGCATCCCTTTTATTTTTACCAAGTTAGGCTTAAAAACCATTCATAATTTTTCAGCCTTGCGATCAGGCCCCAGTGCAGATGTAAACACAAGACATGCCAAGTGAGACCCCGAGATAATGAAAATGCACAATTTTCAAGAAAGGAAATCCAAATGCTACTTCGTACATTTGGGCTCCAAATCCAATCATGCTGTCCCGTGTTACTATCACGGAAACACATGAGGCTGTCTTAAGTGAGATCAGAGGTTATTGCAGATGTTCTGTACCTTTACGTCCACGAGCAGCCAGTGTGTCCAGGGAGCAGAGGTTGGTTTGGTGCGGCTTGGAGCATCAGGATCAACCATCACCAGAAAAGAACTCTTCTTCTGCAAACAGAAGGGTTTTCACATATTATTATTCTAAAACAGACAAAGTGCTTAACTTCACTACCACAGACAGTGAGATTGGCCCAGAGGAAGTGGAACATTAACATCGGTACCTGATCCCTTTTGCTTTTGCAGCCATGTGCTGTTCGTGCATCACTTTGCCCAAGGCTTGAGAGCCATCTCTGCAGCTAACAACACTTTGTTTAATACTTCAAAACAGATGCTTCATTTCACTTTCTTAGCTTCCACTTATTGTAACTAAAGATGCTGCAAAATGTGATTTTTATTGTGGATTATTGTGGATATTTTTTAAATAGTTACTTGATTTATTGAGTGGGTACACAAAGCTGGGAAACAATTCATACCAGAAGGTTGGATTTGCCTTTTGTTGGCTTGACGCATTATCTTAACACTGCCTTACTTCAGCTGTCAAGGCTAAAATGTTGCTTGGAAAACAAAAAAATACATGTGGCAATATTGTTGTAAAAAAGCTTGAAATAAAACTGTTATTAAAAGGTGACGATATACATGAGAAAGTGTTGTGTAGCCATTCTGAACACCAAGTACAGCACACTCCTATTGCAAAAATACAGCTATTTTCTTCTGTTATTCCCTAGACTTAATATAATTACTGTGACATCAATAAAAATGACAACATTTTGGATCGGATACAAAATCTTCTCGTTAACATATTCGCTGTAACTTTCTGCCACTTAACCAGTATCTTTGGACCCCTCAATCTGTCAATAGATAAAGTGAGAGAAAAAGCATCTTAACTAACACTTGATCACAGTTATTGGACGTTGACTTGGCGGCTTAACTGCTGGAAAATCTTCATTCTGTCTGTCCCTAAAAGTTAGAGAATTATGAGAGCAGATTGAATTATTGCGAGAGCACATTTGTCATCCCTGGTCCTATGCCCAAAATCTGCCAGACCATATGATGGGCTTTTTTTATTTTGTTCACTTCCTCTACAAACAGAGACATTAATCAAGGCTGTTTCAATCCACGATGTCCTCTTACTGTATATATACACACTTTCAACTGAAAACCATGATGATAATACATAAAAAAACAGATGCAGCGTATCTTACATTCCTACGCTGTCTGCCAACAACACGTCTGTGAAACATTTAATAGAATCAAACGCTCGCATGTAAACATAAACCTCAAATTTATGTTTGTTGTGTCTTATCAAAACATTCTTAAAGGCCTCTGAAAATTATCGTAAGCCGATGTTCTTGAATGAGATAAAGAAATAGTCATGTATTTTTCTGCAGATGCTCAGTTTTCAGAAGGATTCTCTGCCTACCTGACAAGCAGTAATACGCGTAAACAACTAAGCCTAATAATAGGATAATACTGTAGTCTCAGCGATAGTGCCTGCAGGTAACATCCAGACACACCAGCAACAATAGAGCCTCCTCCACAGCCTGTCAAAAGTGACTCTATATCAGTGACCCCCCCGGGCAGCTTACCAACCATGACCTGTTGCCTTCTCAGGAGTTGTAATCCTCATTTGTACATATTTGCTACCAGGCAAATACACTGTGCTAATGTAGTTACACTAATATTCAAGTCAGGCCCCGATGCATTCAGAAATAGCATGGTTTCAAATAAAACACACACACACACACACACACACACACACACACACACACACACACACACACACACACACACACACACACACACACACACACACACACACACACACACACACACACACACACACACACACACACACACACCACACACACACACACACACACACACACCACACACACACACACACACACACACACACACACACACACACACACACACACACACACACACACACACACACACACACACACACACCACACACACACACACACACACACACACACACACACACACACACACACACACACACACACACACACACACACACACACACACACACACACACACACACACACACACACACACACACACACACACACACACACACACACACACACACACACACATGAAATGAGAGCATTTAAATTCAAAATGACCTCCAGTCACAATTATCACTGAAAGAAATAGCACTTTATTGGATATTTCACGAAAGTTACCATGGATGGAGATAAACTGAATAGGACAGGCTTCCCAAAGCCAAATTTAGAACAAAATTAAGTAGATTTCACATTAATTTCCATCAAAAACAACTGAAACATGGTGTATTTATGGTAGGCACCAGATTTCAATGATTTATGCGCACATTTTGTGCTTGAATTTCTACCTGTAAGAATCTGGCGGGTCCAGCTGGCACGGGCAGCAAATAATACAAGAGGCTCCCTCCATGCTTGCACTTCACACATTGTGGCATGTACCCTTCTCTCTTACATGGACACTTTTTCTCTCCATCTGTCAAAATCCACATTAATTACGCACAGATATGTGTGAAAGACTCCAGGGAAAAACAGATGCATATTCTGCCATCTGAAATAATTTATCATGGCTTGAACAAACTAAATGTATATCAAAACTGGAAACTGAAAGGAACACATTTCCTAAAATATGTTATGAGTATTAACCACTTTTAGTAATGAGATAACATTTGAGCCTTCATGATCATTTGAGATTTAGATCTGCTGCAGTTTAACAATTCTCTGACCAATGACACTTTTTTTTAAAAGTTGTATGTCAGACAAAGCTATTAGTAAAGAATTATTTTAATGTTTTTCATAAAGAGAATTCACATTTATTTAAAAAGAGTTAGAGGTCAGCAGCCCACTCTTTTAAACTCGGTAATGCTATCTAAAGGACTTTGAAAATATCAGAGATATCTGATAGCAGAAGTGAAATCTGGGTAGGTGTCAGCCGCAGACCACAGAGCTTCATGGGGTTATACAGGAGGTTTCTGGGTGTAGGGTGTGGGCAGGAGGTGGGGGAGATTGAGCCAGCGTTCTCCTGGGATTAACCTCCCACTGCCTGCTTTGATCGCTGCAAAACGGCCCGATGGGAACACACTTCAGACACCAGGCGGCTGGAATAAACCTGCAGCCGACTGGTCGTCTGTGTCACGTCTGCATCACCTCACCTCTGGCTGCCAGAAAACTCCCAGCTTCATATTTTCTTTAGTTTTTCCCTTTCAATAACCCTGAACAACTTGCAAATATTGTACTCACACGGACTCACTTTAATTACATTTTCATTTTATTTAAAGGGGACCCATTATGCTTTTTGGGTTTTCCCTTTCCTGTAGTGAAAAACTATTTGTTGTGAATGTACTGTAAATGATCTGCAGAGGCTAAAATCCCAAAGTTCCTTCCAGAGGGAGTGTGTCTCTCCCACACACTGGCTCCCTGCCTGAAACGCCTACATTGGACTCCGTAACATAGTGACATCACTATGTAACACTGGTTCTTCTATTGGCAAGCGTTCCAACACATTGTACGTGATAGAGATGTCCCGCCCCCTTAGCCTAAGTGGTTGACCAATCACAACAGAGCCGGCCAGCTAACCAATCAGAGCAGACTGAGCTCTGGTTTCAGACGGAGGGTGAAAAGAGGTGCTGCAGCACAGGCAGTATGAGAAAAATAAAGAGCTTAACATTAAAGGAAGGAGACATGTCACAGTAGAGGAACTAACTACAGCTATGAAACCTGTAAGTGAGCATAATAGGGCCCCTTTAAAAAAAAAAAACGGCAACTACTATGCAACTTACTTGTATGGTATGATACATTTTAATATTCTTGTTTTTAGAAGTGTATTATAGAGTAATTAACTTATTCTGTATATCTTATATTGTGTAACCTTTCGATAACATTTTGATATATTTATTTTCTACTGATGATAAGTATACATTTAAATTTTTTATTTTTTTTATTGTATTCTATACGTCTTTTTTATTTGTATGATATGTTTAACTAATGTGTAATGCCTGTAGACATGCTGCTGTAACAAAGGATAATTAAAGTATATCTAATGTACTCCAATTCACTGCTATCTCTGGTCAGTGGTGTTGAAGAAGGGAAAAGTGAAGAGCTGGCTACATCTACAGAGTTTAAATGGGGAATCACTTACAGTACACATTTTTTTTAACTCAATACCTGTTCATGATTATGTATCATAGAAATGCAGGTGTCATTTTTAAAATAAATGTTTATATTCCCAAACAATGACATGAAACTCCCACTCCGTGTCAATAGGAGTAGACTATTTGCAAAACAGAAGACGGTGTAGAACAAAGGCGGAGGAATACCAGTGTCTCTGAGGATGTAAACTACTGGCTTACCTTTGAGTGAACTCTGCTGGGGATGAGAATCAGAGAGATGTCTAATCGCTGCTTTCGTAGATCTGCCTGGGCTATCGAGCCCCGCTCTGCTAACTGATGACACCACGAAGGGCGAGAGTGAGTTAGCGAGAGGGAGGGAGGGAGGAGAGGCCCCTCGGCGAGTTTACAAGTTCATACTTTATCCCTGACCCAATACCAAACAGTGTCATCCGTGCAGCTGCCTATTAATATACCCATTGCTTTATCCTTCCCTGTTATACATCCACGTCAGCCGCTGCGCACAGAACCAACAACGTTTCATTAAATGGTCAACTGTGCTCACCGCTCGACCCGGGGCAACGCAACGCATCGATCTCAAATCCCGGTTTAAGTAGCAAAAATACTTGAACTCGTTTGGTAATTAACAGGTATCTGTGTTGTGATTAAGACACAGCGATGGCTTAGCAATCATCGACTGCAGCTTAGAACAAGGTTGAAAGACCGAAAATAAAAACACTAAGATACGTCTGTGGAAGATAATTTTCTACATGATGAAAAAAATCTATTTTGGTTGTTTTTGCAGTAAGTTTTGATAATAAACTGAATCTGTCATGTTAATGTAAATGTACAGAGCAGAGATGTATGACTTTTTATACTAACGTAAAAAAGGTCTAATTTCTGAGGTAGGATATGAGTAAGATTGGAAGAAGAGAAAGCGATGGGGAAGTGGTTCTACTGTCAGGGTTCATCC